GTGTGTGTGTGAGTGTCTAAATATGTATATATCATAACATTATGTATATTAATTATTATGCACATACACACACAGACAACATTTCTTCATCTTGTCTTCCCGCCCTTCATTCTTTATTCTCACCTGACGACGATGAGTAGAACAGAGAGGACGTTGACCCCGCACCAGGTCACCAGATAGGCCAGGGGGCGCTCGTACACGAAGGATGAGTCACCCCAGCTGCTGTTGCTGTGCGCGCCGAAGAAGAAGATCGTGCGGGAGAGCTCTCCCTGGGGGAGATATTGATATGAGCCAATCAAATGTCGGCTTTTATGAATTGGGAAAGTTTTGACCAAATCAGGTGTCGGCTTTTTTTTAAAACTGAGGAAGTGTTGATCTATTAAATGTGGGCTTTTTTTAAAACTGGGAAAGTGTTGACCTATCAAATGTGGGCTTTTATGAATTAGGGAAAGTTTTGATCAATCAGGTATGGGCTTTCGTGAATTGGGAATATGTTATGTTAGCCAATCGGGTGTGAGGTTTTAAGAATTGAGGTAATTAGGGCCAGTCAATCGGGTGTATGTTTTCATGATTTGGAGAAGTATCAGCCAATTTGATTAGGGTTTTTCATGAATTGGGGAAATGTCATCCAATCAGATGTGTACTTCTAAGAATTGGGGATGTGCTAGCCATTTAAGTGAGGGTTTTTATGAATTGGACAAGTGTCGACCAATCAGGTGTGAGCTTTTATGAAATGGGGAAGTATCGACCAATCGTGTAGTGGCTTTCATGAATTGGGGTGAAGGTCAGTCAATCAGGTGTAGGTTTTTATGAACACCAATCAAGTGTGGACTTTCATGAACTGGGGAGGTGTCTGCCATTTGTTCCTGGGATAAGACTACATTGAGGCAACAACATTCAACAAGGGTCTAGGACTTCTGTTCAACTGTTTATCTACTTTGGATTTATCCAATGCTGTCCGTCCGTCCGTCCGTCCGTCCGTCCGTCCGTCTCTCCATCTGTCTGTCTGTCTGTCTGTCTGTCTGTCTGTCTGTCTGTCTGTCTGTCTGTCTGTTTTATTTACTTACAAAAAATCCGAGCTCCACATCCTCGCTGATCACCTCCTGGGGAACAATCTAGAAAAAACAAAAACAAAAATCAAAATCATGAACAAACACCACCCCCCCCCCCCCAAAAAAAAAAAGCAACTTAAAAAAAAGCCCCAGTGGACAAGGTTTTTAAAAAAAATTATTTTTGCTGATGCATACAAGGGTGTGTTTTTGATTTCTACTTGAGGAAGCATGAAAGCTGAAACAACAGAAGGGAAGTTAAAGAACTGGAACATTATACCTGTAGCATCCTCCAACTATCCATCATGTGTTTGTCTTGTTTCTGTGAAAGTTTTACGGTAGTTGCAAGACAGTTAGGTTATGTACGTGCTGAAGACTAAAGGTGTTACAAGACAGATATAAAGACAAAAAGGAAGGAGGAGAGATAAAGGACGATAGATGTTTGATAAGGAAAAAAATAGAAGCAAACCACACCAGAGCACACGCTAACAACCCAAATTTAGTCCTGAGAAAAAGCGAGACAGACGAAAAACAATAACAACAAAACAAAACAAAACAAAACAACACACCAGAGAGAAATTAAATAACGGTCTACCAGAGGCACGTCCTCCAACCACCCACCGATTTGTTTACCTGGGGTAGTGAGACGAAGCAGAACATAAGGAGAGCCACTGTGGCGTTCATAAGTGTCAGGAAACGCAGAAACCGGAAGTAGGAGCCAACATGAGTTCCGAAGAAAGCTGAAAGAAAGAAACACTTGTCTAGGTTTAGTTTTAGGAGAGGTTTTACGGCGCTCGCAACTGCATAAGGTCATATGAGCGCCAGAAGATTGGAGGTGTTACAAGAGAGTAACAAAAATAAAAAGAAGAAGGGGAGATAAGGACGATAGATGTTTGATAGGAAAGAAGAAGAGTAACCACACCAGAGCACCCGGCAACCACCCACAAACATATGTCTGTCTTTTTGTTTGTATGTTTGTTCTTTAGTTTTTAGGAAGTATTTTAACGACCCTTGCAAAACAATACGGTTATATAAGTGTCGAAGATTAGAGATGTTACAAGAGAATAACAAACACAAAAAAGAAGGACTAGAGATAAGGACGATAGAAGTTGGATACGAAAGAAGGAGCAGACCACACCAGAGCATACGCCAACCAGAAACAAAAGACGGAGAGGAAAGAACTAGGACCTGTACTAAACATGTTTATTGGCAAGGATGAATTCAGATATGTTTTACTAACTTGACAACTTGGTGCCCATATGACCTTAAGCAGTTGCGAGCACAGTAAACCCTCTACTATAAAAAATAAAACTTTAAAAAACTGAACAACTGGACAGAGACAAAGCCGTGTCATTCACTGAACTCACGAGGCAGGAAGAGGAAGCTTGACCTCTGGATAATCGTAAGGGGAATGTATCCACATAATTAACATGATTAACAATCAACAAGACTATTGATTGTTTGCTTTTGATTTTGATTGATTGAGTAGGTGTTTTACGGCACTATCGACTCAATTATGGTCATTTTAAATTTTACCTTTGAAACATTCGTACAGATTCATTACAGGACCTACCTATCCTGCCTTCCAGCCAAGCTTTCTTTTTCCTCAAACAAACAAACAAACAAACAAGCAAACAAACAAACAAACACACAGAGCCGGCCACCTGTGATCCTGGCAATGCTGTCCTCCCACAGGCCAAAGGGCACGACCCCGCTGGCCGTCAGGTACCTGACACGCCCCCGGAAGTGACGTCGTCTCAACGTCTGCCCGCCAGGGGAGGCAGTTTGGCCTTTGTCCAGAGCTGCGCCGTGGCTGAGTGTTAACCCAGTGACCAGATGCTCTCGCAGTTCACTGTGGTCGTTATGACAAGAAATCGGGCGCTTTTAAGTTAGGGGGCTGTGAAATGGTACGGAGTTAACGCCCCTATCACCACTGTTAGGTTATTTAAGAGGCGGGGCTTCCTAGTTTAAGTTTAACGTCCGTCTCCGAAAGGACCGAGCCAAATGGGAAATTGGTGTACAGTATCTTTCCCCAAAGACACAACGTCGGACTGAGCTGAGGCTCGAACCCGTAAAACCCGAAATATGTTGTTTTGAGAAAATCGAAGGTAAAGTTTTTGCCCCTTTTTCAGTTTCTTTAAAAGACAAAGAGAGTTTTTTCTATAACCAAACAAATATACACACCAATGGGACCAAACTTCTCCTATAGGTAGAGCAATGCACGCTTTTGGTGAAAGGTCAAGATTTCTGGAAACCCGCGAAATCTGGGTTAGCCCGGTTTTCCTCAAAAACGACCAATTACACTTTCAATATAGCGCTTTTTTCTGCACGCCCCC